GAAAATGGTGGACATTGACATTATCATCATCATCATCCTAGCCAGCTCGTCTCTAGCGCAACGTATTCAGAGGTTTCCCGGAATACTAACAAGGCAATCAAACTGCCATCTTAATGTCCACAATGATGCATCACTAGCACGATTAATGATTCCTCTGTGAAAACAAGAAGGGAGGAAAATTGAAATAATGAGAAAACTGTGCTCTATTTCTTACAAGAAAAAACTCAGCTAATTACAAATTTTCCGCTGAATTGCTTTCGTTTATGAACGTTGAAGTGATTCTTAACTCGGTCCTTCTTATCTTAGCAGAAAGAAAGACGATTCTCTTGACTAGTTATAAATTCCCTTGCATGACTCCGCTATAAAACATTTATCGGCCTCGCTGATAAAACTTGTTTTTTATTTAGGGCATGTTATCTCCTGTGTTTGGTTTGATATCGCCAGGTGGCCTCTCTACAAGGTAAACTGTGACGTCATTTAACGTTTATTGCTCTTTCATGGGTCTTGCCGGCACTTGACCTGCGTAACGTTGCTTTCTGAACCGCCCAGGAGTTGTGCATTATTCTGTTGAAAATATACACAATTCAGATAACTCAATTGATCAGACATTGATAATAAATAACAAATACTTAAAAATAAATTTTAGATAATATAAATGAACAATAAAATTATTGTGCGTTGTTACTGTTTATATCGTTGTAAGTATAACAATCTTATTCTATGGGACTGAATGGGAGAACGAAATTTGCCTTGTCTCTAAACAAATATGTTACTGTGACACTGTTAGACGGCCCGGGCCTATTGCTGCTAGTTCATTTCAGTAGTCCTGGCCATTGGTAAATCAACATTTTCCAGCTCGATCCATCGTGCTAAATTTAATCTGTAACATGAATGGTTGTTGTTGTGCATTTATTGTTTCACTCCGCACCCCTGAGTACAACACTATTTATCAACGCTTAATTAAAGATGCAATGTGGATAACTATATTGCATGATTTATTGTAGTATTAAAATTATGTTTTAGCTGAGAACTTAGAAGAACTTGTTAGGCAAAACACTAAAAAACACGAGTTTGTAATTACCTGAACGTATAGTTAAATTCAAAATGCATGCACATTATTGTTTTTTAAGTAATTCATGAAACAAATACTGCTATATCTATTGGGAAAACAAGGTTGTTATTTTATGATAACTCGTTACCTAATGTTTTATCAAAATGTAGTATAGAAAGAAAATATTTAAATATGCCAAATAATACTCAGGCTTTAATGTTTTTTCGTAGAATATTTTTTTTCGCTAATGAATTGCACTTGACAACTACTAGTATGCGAGTATCTTATACAGTATATATAATGCGGTTTACTTTTAAATACAATTTAATAAATTGTCAGCGTTTTAATGAACATACCTAAAAGGAAATTGCATAATTATTACTGGACACTCGATTTTATTCGTTGTTTTCGAATGAGGCTGAGCCGAGGCACTGAGATATGTCAGTCTCCCTGACTGATATGTTAATCTGTTCGTTGCGTCTGTCGATTCAGATTTTTATCGGCTCAGACTTTCAGTTTTTTTTAAAAAATTACAATTTCCAGCTTCGGGCCTACTCCAACGTTTTGCCACGGTCCAATAAATCGACTTATCGTGACTTTCAGCTCATTGTTTTCACAATTTTGTTCCGCTTCTTATTTGTAACTGGGTTAAAATTTTGATTTGTTATTTTCACTGAAAACTTATCAAAGATCGTAGTAACGGTAACACTAAAAGTAGTGTCCTTATTTGGATATTTGGGACGTTTTCCATTCATTTGAAAGTAATTAATGAATGGTGCGGTTGTTACCAACATACCTGGCCTTGAAATCACACGCGCACATGTTTACATTGCAGCAATTCGCTCACGTAGCAGTGCGTTTCGTGTTTAGTACTAAACACTGATATGCGCATGCCGTGCAGAGTCAGGAGGAGGCGCGGAGACTAGATAAATACACTGGAAAGTGCATACCCTCCGGCCAAATCGGAATTAGATTGCCAACACATGTGAAAAATTAATAGAAGCTCGCTAATTGAGTCGCTAAACACACTTATCATTGCATTTGAGTACAAGAGTACGCACGGAACCGAAAATATTGAATTTAGCTAGCAGCTACCATCACTCATCCTCCCTTGGTACTCGCTCTTAATTGGCAACTTTATGATTTCGTTTTCCAAACTCTTTACATCTGGGGTATTTTCTAAAGTTTGTGCTTAGGGCGATTTGGGTTCCATCATATGTGGGTTCCCTTATGTAATCTTGAGGGGGATCAACGCTAACAAGATTTAAGGATTGTATTTGATCACTGTGAGCAGATATGTCAATTTCAATAATAAAGTCAGGTAGTGCTGCTGAAGTCGTCACATGATATGTATGATATTTTCACGTCGTATATTTTGTTCATAAGTAGGCGTTGAATGCATTGGTGGGAGACACAGCTAGCATAACATTATTTTTAATGTGTGCACTTGTTTTCCTTTTTTCGATAATTTTTCGTGATTATTCTGTATAAGCGGATGACTTATATCGATATCAGGTTAGATGCGTCAGCCTGAATCTGCGCCTAACATTCTACTGCAAAAAACATAGCCGAGGAAGCTTGGTAAATTACAGAAGGGGTGCGCATACACGCGGTTCCAATCGACGTACGCTGCTTTCTTTCCTCAAAAGAATGGGACCGCCACTGATCGAAAAGACACGAATAATCCGTTATCCCGGTATGGAATGTAAAACAAATTTTAGCCGCAGGATAGACTGCATAAACGTCTCATTTAAACGTTATTAAAAACCTCCCAAATGCAATATTCATGCACAAAACACACAAATCGACGCTGCTTTCGTGTGGTGTTCGATTTCTCTCTCGTAACTCTCTTCTGGCTTCCTCTGCTAAACTATTGTCTGTCGCACTGTTTTAACAGCAAAACCAACACATATTCATTCGCAGAAGACAAATTTCCGGAGAATAAGTACGTATTTCATTGCTTAGTATAAACAATTTTCTTTCCTCGATTTCTTGCCTATATTGTTATCATTTCTTTTCTTTCTTTTTTTTGCGTGAGAAAATAAATAAAACTTCAATGATTTGTAATGTTATAGATGTACGCTTTACTCAGATTATTTACGTCAGATTATTATATTATTTGAGGAGTGATATGTAATGGATATCAGGACGCTTTCGGGGGTTTCATCTTCACTAAGAAATTGTGCCATTTTCTAGTAATTCAGATTTGCATCGGGCTTCATCAGATCTAGGAAGGGTGCATAATTCCTCGAGAAACAGAGTGATTACAGTTGTCACGTTAATATCCCGTTCAATTTGTCTCACGGTAAACTTTCTCACTGAGCAAAGTGTTTTGTTGTACTGAATAGAGTCGGTAATTCTTTTCAAAACAGACCCCAGCCTCCATCGCCATTCAAAGCTTCGTCGAAGACGAAATCCCTTTTTGAACACATTTCCGGTGAATGACAAAAGAAACTAATACCCGAAACTTGTTGTAGTTTACCTCTTCGCTGGGCAGTCTATAAATGCACTGGAATGAACACGTCCGCCGTGTTGGCAGGCTCTTACGCCATGTGTTCAAAATGAACACACGATACGTTTACTTGGATGCCCAACGATTTTAAACTCGACTAGTACAATGCTGGACGTCGCACTATCCCCGATAAACTAAAGGTTGTATTGTGTGTTTAAACATTGCACAACTGAAATATTGTGTATTTCATGGTGCCAGGGAAAACGATGAATTGACGATTACGGTTCGTCTGTGTCCATGTTCGCAAAAATCTCATGTTTCAAACCGTTATCATTAATTGTAGTCGCTATTCATATTGTTTGTATGTACTATAATATACTACCAAGCAAATTTTATACATATAGAAACAAGTAAAAATTGTGTTGAACCCAATGCTTACGACATCGTGCTTTGCTCATTGCCCATATTCCAGAGAGAGGGAGAGAGACACAGCACGAGAATTCACAGAAAGAACGCGAGAAACGAATTAAATGTTAAAAGCGGAGGAACTTGTCCCAGAGTGCTAGGTACATACCCGTTCACATTTCCCCTCATTTCGAACGTTTTAATAAGTTTCTCACTGCATATAATTATACGGCACATTTTTATAAGAAGGGGAGTTGTAATGGCCTTATATAGGAGTTTAACTGTTACTGTACATCCTGCATACCTTGAGACGGGGTCTTTTGTGCAGCATCTATTGCTTGCCTTGTAATAGTGTAAATGTAGAAAAAACATTGACTGAACCCAAGATAATGATACTAAAGTGGTTTCGATCGACCAATCAAATAGTTTACTTTTTCTCTACAGACCTTTTGGTAATGGGTACAATGCAAAGAATGGAAGCGACGGTATACCTGAGGCTAATGTGTGTAATAGCAAATAATTTATTGTTCCAGTCATGAAAACACATGAGTAAATAATATAGGAGAAAGAAATCGCTTAAAATACTAACGGCACCTTTGGTACAAACCCGCTGCTATATACTAAACGATTAATAATTCTTTTTTTCAACGAAATTTGCATCCTAATGTCTGTTAAAAACAACATAGAACGGAGAGAACCAATCCTATGTAGCGTACTCTATATTTTGGTTTTATTCGTTGAAAGAAGCTTTTGCTAATTTCAGACATGTACACAAATCATCGTGTGGTATCGCCTGTGGTGGTGTTGTTATTATAGTATCTTTGTTTGTACCTTTCCCACGTTTGTTACAAAATGAAGATTGTGCGTGGGTTTATTGTGTTTAGATACCGACCAAACTAAGGCGGACATGGCGCGTGATGATTGGCCGCAAAGTGAGGGGGTTGCGAAGAATACAAAAATGATACAAAAGTACTAGTAGTGGGAATTGTCCAAGACGGAAGGTGAGCTTGACAGGGGACCTTGATAAAGAATTGTTTTTTTCAATCAAAACAGTACATTTCTGTATAGAATTAAATATTTTAGCGGTAATAATGTGTCAATGGCAACTATTTAATAGCAAAAATATCGTCCATTATATAGCACATTATATTCTATGGTCGACACAACTGTTAAATACATAAAAAGAACTGTTTTGTTACGAAATAAAACATCAATATGAAAAAGTTGACAGTATTATTAAAATATATACATGAACTTTGTAGCTATGTTCTGCAGATGTTCGTGGAATTGGTACAGAGTTCCTAGGTCACGTGACAACAAGCTGTCCGTTCAATGTGGCAGGGGCTGGCCCGGATGTATGGCTCTTGGAGCAACCGGGAGTTGATTAATGTGCTGTTGAAGCCCATGAAGAAATACTCTGGGAAACATCGGCCTCTGGGCGCCATGAAGGCTGTATATACTGTCCATATTTGAAATTATACTCTGGTTTGGATGGTAGAAATACGGCGATGGAAACATTCGGTGCATGGCATTGTAACTGCCCGCTTCTGCTAAAAGCTCCAGACCCACCTGTGTTTGGCGTTTCCATTTTGTCCTGAAAAGACAGATATAAGAAGACGTGTTTAAAAATTACATATCCTTAAAATCGCAATAAAGGGTTATACATTTCATATCTCGTTCACCATAGTTTCTGCTTAACAACCAAATTGCAATATTTCTACTACACACACAAGGACATAATTTGAAAACTACTTTTAACAATAGATAATTGATTTAATTGTATGAGAAAACAGTTTTTAATACTTTTTATTTGCTGAAATAATGCCACTGCGTATCCCAGGTGGCAGAGTCAGTGTTATAAACCACCGTTGACCTATACGCGCCTGTTCAATTCGAAATCTTCAGCGGATTACGTGTCGTCGATTTCTACGGCTTTGTTCGGGTTAACACAGTGCAGCGCTCGATCCGTGTTTCCCTCAGTACACCAGACAGCTGCGGCGACACAAGACAATATACCAACTGGCCTGTTTTAATTGATTTTTTTCTTTACTAAAAAGCAACATAAGAATCTATCTGTGGTATCTTTTGACTTGGCTTTTAGTATAACTGTAATGTTAACGCCCTGATTTGTTTGTTAGAGTAGGGCGACAAGGGCACATGCCTTGTGGGCTGTCCATCACCGTATTCACTGTCTTCTCTGACTGTGTAATTGTCCAGCATCTTTTTGGTTTGTGAGATTTCCTCCATTTAATCGTCAACGGGTCAGTCTTCGACCCAAAGTGGAGCCAATTACACCGATCTGATGGCGTCTTCTATGCGGACAAAACGTTTTACAATGTTCCATTGTCTACCGTAATTCATGTACGAGTTTCCAATTTCTCGTTTTTCTGAGCGAGTAACTTTCAGTGGCACAGTATTCTTAGTGAGTTTACTTTTCCCTTACAAACTTTCACATAGAAAACACTCGCTTTCATGCCCCTAACTCGGTCCGGTTATTTTGTATGCGATTGCTTCTAACAAACACAATTTTACCCCGCCTATTTAAGATTACCCGGGAACCGATTAACTATCCAAACACTTGAGATTAAAACAAAAAATAACAACTTTTGATTAACTAACCCTATTGAAGTTCACCGATTTTTGTGTGTAACTCTTCTGTAGTGCTTCGTTTCTGTTACAGGGAGAATCTTACGGACAATGACACCATAGTCGATCAACATACCGTCTTTGAATTTTCACAAAAGGTTCTGTTTCTATACCACAAGCACCGAAATTAACTCCGTCAACAAATATACATGAAGGAAGTGTAACCATTCTATAACCGATAACGCCAGCGAAAATCGACAAGGAAAAACTCAGTCTGCCAAACGTTCAGAAATTTCACCTGCGAGATAGAGAATCGTGGCTATGTCCCAACAACGCACCCACAGTGGGTAGTTTTAATTAATGAGTGGCCATATAACAGGAGTTGAAAAAGATATTGACAAAAAAACAGCGGACCTTCAAAAATTCAGACACAAACAACGCGTACTACATAAACAGCGAGATAGAAGGACGTTGTCCAGCTCTGATGCGTACACGCATTTCCGTTCGGAAAGGAACCGGTTACGTCTGTATTTGACTCATTGCTTGTGGTCATTTGAGCTGCTAAGAAATCTTGATGGGTTTTGTACTCACTGAACTAAAATAATTTGCAGTAATGTACGTCAACTTGAAATCCAAGAATGCTCGTTTTTTGGACTTGATCTAAAATGTGTGTTTTTTTTAGAAATATGTGCGTGTTTTCATTTTTGTATGGGCCGGTAAATTAAAAAAGAAATAATATCGTTTTACTTAAAAATACAATTTGCCACGAAAAGTATATTTCTAGCATAATATCACAATTATTAGTGTTATACGGTAAAGTAAATATTGACAGTTCACAAATTAAAAGCAGTATCCTTTGTTTAAATTGGCACTCTCATTGTGTGTAAGAACAGTTTAACAGTAATTGGACTAAATTGCCCTCGGTGGTTTTGACATTCAGTTTATGTTTTTAAATGTATGCTTTAAAATTTTAGTGAATTTGGTTAAAATTCAATTGCACAAAATATAACTATGTCGATGTATTCCAGCGCCGCTTTATGGCAGTCACGCTGCTGGAACGGTGGAAGCCCCGTCGATTTCTACGACCATCGACTTCTTCGTTTCTCTAAAAGTGTACTGTCACAGACCGCGACTGATCTCAACAAAATGAACCGTGAATTAAAATGCTCATATTCTAATTAAGATTATTTAAATTATATAGCAATAATATTTAGTTTAATAGTTTCGTTTATATCCATTCCCGATTGCCATGTAAAATAATTTCACTTTTTTTTAAATGAGGTATTCAGTGCCTCTTTAATGCATGCTGTGTCTGTGTACCACCCGTGTCTGCCGTGTAATTGTCAGGTATATATTTGGGTGAATAAGAAACTGGTTCGTGTGTAGATATTTAAAATATCAAACTATTAATATCATTTCTGCTATATCTCCAAATAAAAATCACAGACATCTATTTTGTTAGTCCACCATGGCATCGTCGGCACTCGTCTGTCACCATGAAAATATCGGAGTACGACCGAATTCCCGTTCAAGAACATCTTTGATGAAAAGCGTTGAAAAATCCCCTTAAATAATACGTAGTAAAAGGCCGATTTTTTTCACGGGGAGAGATTCGACACGAGGCAGGAAACTTCTGCAAACACCGATAAAATAAGATAATAATTGTACGTGTCTCACCTTCGGTTCTGATACCACGTTTTAACTTGCGTGTCTGTCAGATTAAGGGATGCTGCTAAGTCCATTCTGTCTTGAACTGATAAATACTTTTGTCTTTCGAAACTTCGTTCTAAAGTGTTCAGTTGGTGATCGGTGAATGCCGTGCGAGCTTTCCGCTGCTTCTTACCGGTCCTGGCGAGTGGGCTATCGCGACTTGAGCTAATTTCATTATCTTTACCTGTAATTTAAATTATAGCTCAATATGAGGCGGTGTTGCTATATTAGAGTGTCGATACCGCTATTTACTCCCATACAACGACTTATGCTTGACGGACAGACAAAGAACACCGGAAAAGGCGGCAATATGATCGGAAAGTCATCTATTCAACGATTCAAATTTATCGATGATTAGTCTGACGATGGATTGTAATACCAGTCAAAACGTGCGAATATTTTCCCAATTCGAGAAAAAAAACATAGTATTGACGGCACTATTTAAATCGCCAATCTCCTATCCCTATTTACGGCACCTTCAAAATACGCTGTCGAACTACAGAAATGTTGGACGTAAACTAGAGACGAGCCGGTAAATAAAAAAAAAAACATCGATAGAACATTCACAGTTATAATACGATAGTAATATTTCAAAACGTAGAATCATCTATTACTAGTTTTCCACCCTTGATTGGAATATACCGATACTGCAATCAACTGCAGCTGCAAAAGGCAGAAGTACAACAATACTAACCGACTTCATAACATAATTGATAATGTTGTGTACATCTTTATCTTATGAATATAATAGACAAGGTACTTTCTCGGACAAATTGGTCCCGAAAATGGCGTTAAAGTCTTATTTCAAAACTGATAATTAATCTATGTGGCACAGATACAATCTTTTAGTGAGGGAAACAAATTAGCAAAAGTGTTTGACATTGATAGAAATTACGATTATCCTTGACAGTGTCAGACAACACCAATTAAACTAGCTTTGTAAGGTTAGTAGACATTATTTTTTCTGCGTTCTTTCCAAATACTAGTTGTTCACGTTGTACAACAGTTAATTTCATCGTTTCAGTTTGATCCGTGTGAACAGAAATGTGTAAGCGACATATCTCATTGCCAAAGTCGTTCAGCAAAACTATTTTAACGAAATAACGCAAATACATCCAGATACATTAATAATTTTATGTTCTTTGGGCTGTAATATTGGTGATGTTCTCACAAAGTGGCCGTATGATTCACAGAATACAACAACAGTGTGGTGTAATCTCGCCTGGATGCACATCTATACAACACATACAAACACATACACTCTCACGTACCTTCAGTGTGGCAAACATCATCTTCCTCGTCATCGTATTCGTCTTCGTCTTCTGGAGCCGGCCTCTTGTTGCAAATTGGGGTACTTGTAATTTTCGGGTCGCACGTCACAGCTGTTGTGTTTATTTCGTCATATTTGTCGCTTACATGGTGATTGTGCGTTTCTTGTGGCCCCGACGTTATCACTTCTGTTAGCAGTTTTGTTGTTGTTGTTATTTGTGTTGAACTCGCTGTTTTCTGACAATCGCGCTCAATTTCATTCGTATTCAAGTCACTTAAAATGTCTTTTATAAGAAAAGAAGATGATGTAGTTCGTGGAGGTTCCACTGGCAAATGTGGACGATGTAGTCTTGTCTCATTTTGACTAAGGTTGCCGTCGCTCTTGCTTAAAGCATACGACTTGTTACCGTCCTGTTCGGGCTCACTCTCTGAGATGCAAGCCGGACTGTCCCTTTCACTCTCGCTGTCACTGTACACACTTCCCCTATCCATGTCTGTGTTCTCGAAGTCAAATTTGGTCTGCGTGTCAATGGATCCGCTCCTGCTGTGCGTCATCATACCAAGTCTCACTAAGTATGACGTTCCCAGACTTAAACTTGCTTGATGCTTGGGAAGCTCCGGTGTTTAACAACTGGTTCGTTCGTCTGATGTATATTCCAGATATGTAAACCTAGATAAATTTAAAAATAAAAAAATATGTTTTTCATTTAAAAAGCTAGCATTTTTGCAATTAACATTTTCATTTGGGTAGTTTTCGTTCTTTACGGCAGATGTTTGTTTTCTGAAATATACTTTACCAGCATTGTCATGACCGGCTAATAGTCTTTGCCAGCCCCAATAAATCGACACAGTGTGTTAGACCCTAACATCAACGCGGTCTGTCGCATTATGTTAAACAACACAAGTGTACACAGTGTATTCAACCTCGTCTCCAAACTTACGTGCTGTAGCAGTCGTTCCGAATACTCTCCACCGATCAGGCATGCATGCCGCGTCGGACACAGTCACACATTTACAGTCTCGAGCCGCGCGTTGGTTCGTAAGCTTTGTCACTATTTTGGCAGCGTCCAATCACGGTCCCGCCCGCTCTCATTTAACACCTCCTCTGCGTACTTCGAAATCAGCTACTGACAAGCCAAACTACCAAATTTACCAAATGATCACATGCGCACAAGACGACCCGACAAAAGAGCCATTTGAAAGTAGTTTAGTAAATTAGATAGCAACAACAAAAAGCGGTCCTCTGATTGGCTGTTGCGTTCTGCATGATTTACCGTGTTTTTGCATGCTGCTCGTACAACGTATACATTCTACTCGCGTAACCTTCTCCAATCCCCACCTCTCCCATCACATACCAATAACCATCGAATGGAGGCAAAGCGTTATTGATGGTCTGACTCACTTTTATTTAGGCATTTATATCAAAATAGAGTCGCTGTAAACAAAGTAGAACCCTGAAGGCAGAGTGTCGGGGTGTGTTTAGACAGTACCGGTGTGCTGTATCGCGACATGGGTGACAGGCCGCTGTGTAAACTGGATGACACTGTGGGGCGTTTACTTGCTAAATAAACAACTAAACAATCAAACAAACACCACCTGATAATAGGGAGCTGGACAGCGACTATGATCGTCACAACAATTCATTGAAGAGCAGCTACTGAGATTAGCATTTGAAAAAGCGGTCACCTCTTTACGGCTTGGCTACGTGAAAGGCCGTCCCGAGTACAGAGTATTATTGTTGTGAGTTCATTTGTACAATAAAATACACAGATGGCTTATTTATTGAGTGCGATTCAGTGGATGGGGAGAGCGATTTGCGTGTATATGCGGATTAGACCACTCATTAAATGTACCCGGCTTTTAACAATACTACAATGAATTAAGGCATGGAGAGGTATTCCGGCACCCACACCCCGAATTTATTATAAAAAAAAAATCTTTACACAGCGCCTTCCATGCAATGCAACCAGCGAACAGATTTCAATACGTGCATCGTGGGCTGTGATATTAAACTCGTTCGACTCGAGAAGACATTACAATATGTCCCGCACATTCATGTAGTAAGGATCACTTTTTCAACATTTACTGTAATGACCTTGGGCTTTATATCCGTGTTAAGATTTTGAGAATAATCCTTGAAATGTGCCCTCTTTATTATTACAAGTTTGTAGCAACATAGAATTGTTTTTGTTGTATAATATATTTCACGTTGTTGCTAGACGGCGTGGTGTCAAAGTGTGGATTACTTGTCCTAGACAACACTTTGTCTGTTTGTAATTTGTTCCAATTAACTACATGCAAACTAATTTACACCTCTTTTGTTTCGTTCATAGTGTTACTGTGTTGAACAAAATCCGTCAAGTTTTACCCATCCAAAATTCAGCCATACCTGACAATTTTCAGACGTAGAAACGGTTAATTATGCCTTTGTTGGGACTGAGCCGCAATAAAACAGATGTAGTACCGCTCAACACACTCACAGTTGTTCTCGACCCAATAACAATGTCCATCAATATTTGAAATGCAACATTTTTGTAGACAAAAGATCCCGTATACGGTTTCTTTGCTTGCCTGTATCTAATCACTTCACTATAATGTGTGTGGGGGTGCCCGCCCTTCTCAATATAATTCTTAGTACTGTTGTCGGGATTTTTGAATTTTTTTAAAAGTTGTTCTTGTGAAACTCGAAAATGCATTACTGTTAATTATAAATGAATAGTACACAAGAAGATAAACCAAATTAAAGACAATTATCATTCATAGGATTGTCATATTATGTCAGTCGCATATTGCCCGGCTATTTTAAACAGCAAGGACGTAACGTCTAATTTTGATGGGAATAATCACGGTTCATCTTAACTTAGTTTATTGTCCCCCGTGCATCCACCTTCGACGGCGACTCGTTTTTTGTATGGCAATATATGCATTCATTGGCGGACACTCCGCACACACTCGATCACCGCCCTTTACTTTATGTTTTATTTCTACTTTTGACGGTTACCATGGCTAAACGTTGGTAACATCCAGGATGTGACGAGCATAATTGGCTGTCCATATTGTCAAGCGTGAGTCGTTGTGTGGTACCATTGTTTTCGTGGTCTCCTTCAATGTGTGTGTGTGTGTCTGCAACGCTGCAACCAACTATGTACAACCAACGCTTCTTCTCAACTGATTACTAGTATGAAAAAGCTGAGAGAAATTTGTATTGGTCGCCATACATGGCCATGTGGGGCATATTATCCATTGTTTACGATTCATGGCCGCCTGTTACAATCGTATTAAGAGCCCAATATGGTACATACAGCGATGGTATCATTTTGTATCCAAACTGGCGTTTAAAAGTTTTCATTTTCGTTTTTTCCAGTTGACGTACACGGAAAACAAACTACCAACATTCGATCCATTAAAATTAACAGGGAAATGCCAATAGTACATACAATTAAAATTAAGTAAATCCGGAAGTTGACGTCAGAAGTGGGTATTGTTAAGAAACATTTTGATGTATTAACTCAATGGTATAAATAAACATCAAATTTTCTGCTTGCTAGCCGCCACTCGGCGAAATGTACGGTATATTACCGTTGCCATGATTTGAAAGACTGTTACGTTTTATATGTGTTATACTTTGCACTCATCTTACGACGGACAACTAGTGCCTGTATGGCAACATCATATTGTTTAGAATTTAAAATATGTCCCGTTTTCACCCGGACACGCACATTAATAACCACAACATCATTACAGATCGGAAATATTACACCAATTCGCTATAAAAAAAAGTTAATCGTTTTTCGTGTCACGTCACCAACTCCAAGTCGACACGGAAGCATTCTCAGAAACCGGTTGTTATAATAGCTGGCAGTTGATGTATAATTGATCTTAGTTTGTTATCCTAATTTGTAATAATCCAATTTAAAGGAATAGCTGACGGTTAGTCGTTTTTAGATTGATCAACCGACGATATTCGCTGTTTATTTGTTTTTATTCGACATATTTACATCTATAAATCTCAACGTGTTTCCTCTTTGCAATATATTTCGAGTCGCTCACTCCAAAATGGACGTCAGCGTGAATGCCACTCGTGCTAAATGGCGGTATACCCAATCACCGAAACTGTGAGATATTTAAAAGAATTTAAATGATGCGAGATGGGTATGTTTTAGATTGCGAGAATTGAGCTGAGTAAAGAGATTATACAGATTTGATAAATAAGGGGTGTGGCAGCACTTGAGGCAATAACACGGAAGTAACAATACAGGAGCGTGCGATTTGAAACGGGCGTGTTCGATGACGGTAGGTTTGTAATATCCGATGTAGGATGGGAAGGCCGAGCTGTTATAAAGGGGTGTGGGATTTCGTCACGGTTATAACGATTTTTTCAAATAGAGGAGGAATATAGATTTTTAAAGCGCAACAAGGAAAATAACTCGCCACGTGACGTTGTTCTAAGCAATGGTACACAGCATCCTTAGGGACAAACCTGATGGTCACAGAACAATACGTAAAACAGACCACCCGACTGACCGTTTCAGACAACGGGCCGAAGTACTGTCAATTGTTAAATTCGCAAACACATGTCGATATCGCATGGCAAGTGATGAACAGTCGGGAGCCACCGTCATGCAATCAACGATCCTCGGTCAACCATCTTGTTCGCGGAATTTCCATGTTCACAAATACTTAACCACACAATCCAATAGAATTTATTTGCGTAAAGAAAATTATCTTCATCGAGTCATTTCACACAGAATAGCGTCTAATGTTTATTAAAACAAAGCAATTGCCCGGTAATGAGGCAAACTCGAGCGAAGCTGATCATCAAACGATCGGGTTTCTGTTTAACGAAGGCGATTTTAATAGTAAATTACATGCAAATCGAACAGACTCCCTTTGATGATCGAGGCAGGCACTTTAAGTCCAATTCACGGAACAAAACGATTCATTTCAAACTCGAAATTGTTTTCGTGTTACACACACTTCGATGTATTGCATTGATCCATCAGTTGTTGAATAACGCAAACAAGATAGTGATCTGGCGCTAATTGAAAGCAAACTTCAATATTTATTAAAATTGTAAAATAATTATCTCAAGATTTACAAATCTCCCAATTACGTTTGAGGAGTTATTATTTTTTTCCGATTCATAGAATCGACTTATTTCTTAATACTCCCTCTAGATTTTTGTTATTTGGATACACTCCGTTTTTGTATTCCCTTTATTAGTTTCCTAAATTTATTCGAGATTTATTTGGCGAACGGAGTTGATCGCCTGACTGCTGAAACTTAAAGGGAAGCAATTTTGTATTTTTCAAGTCCCACTCATATCGGCTTAAACGAATGATTGGGATTTGGGATGGTTTTGATTCGTGTTTTTAGAAGGAAATGGCATTTCCCAAGATGCGATCCGATTAGAAAGCCTTCTGCAAATATGATTGTGCCTACGGATTATTGAAATTATAGCTAGCAAACCGTATTGATATACCATATCATATTGTTAATAATTTTCACAATCCCGCTTTTTTCAAATATTATTCATTGGAAATAATTTAACGCCTCAGTGTGTTTATTAACTCTTGTAACATTCTATTCGGACTGCTCTTCGGATGTGTATTTCCACACAATCTTTTCTCGTATTCTAAGTTTATTAGTTTGTTCAAAGCTTTTTTTATCAATATCGGTTCGGGAATAAATTACGGAGGTGATTTCTTATTTTAAAAAGTGTGTTGAGTTTTCCCGCGCAAACTACGTTAGTATATGCTGTATATTATATATTCATATCACTCTTCAATAAAACAATCCGATAATGAACACACAAAATCGGCGATTACTAGCAAATCATTAGAATGAATTACTCGGATAACAATCTCGTTATTCGACAAATTTAATTGTCGATTTTTAGCCGAATTTCAAACATTTTCCGTAACGTGCACGGTTATCCTCATCGTCTCGTGATGGCGTCATTCTCGAAATACTGCGAAGAGGAGTGAGGGGACGTACAGAGCAAATTAATGGCTAGGCTAGGGTCGGCCTTTCTGAATTAGAACATAGCATGCCTATTTTACAGATTTGTGTTGAGAAGCTGAGCAGCGTCACAAGTTGAACGAAGTAAAGTCATATTTGTTGTAATATAAAAACATTTTAGGAAAATGAAACACTGACATGAACAAATCGAATCATTTCAAC